ACCTGGTCAGGGCTTTGAAGAAGGCGGCCACCAACGTGGAGAAAGACATGGTGAAGTCGTGCTTCGCCTATTTTGGGATTGTCCCCGCGGGGGACTGTTGCCAGGTGTCTCAGAACGAAGCTGAGCCCATCCTCAAGTTTTTGGCGGACAAGCTGAGTCTGAAAGAGAGGAAGACGAAAGGTTGTTTCGCAGTAGGCACGGAGGAGGTGAAATCAGCTCTGAGGCAGCACTTGTTAAGCAGGTTGTGCTCCATCACCCAGGAGTTCCGGAGCAAACGCTACCCTGGCATCTGCAGGAAGTACATCGTTGGCCTGAAGTGTGAGGATAAGAGCTGTGAGGACTACCACAGGCCCTTGCTGCGCCACGAAGCGAAGACAGTGTTTCAGAATAAAACGCTTCTGGTGGCAATCAATGGGTTGCTGTTGGAAGCCACGCACACTTTCCCTAAAGAGCTACTGAGTCAGTGCAAAAGCTTTGATGACATTTTGTCTGCCGACAAATATGCGTCGTGTGAAGCCCTCCTGGAAGTGTTTTTCCCTAATCATTTTCATTTGAGAATACTCTCTGAGAACACAAAGGCGTGCAGAGAAATACTGGAATTCGGTAACGTTGTTTCTAAACCCTGCAGGGCAGTGTTGAAGGAGTACATCATGTTTAAGTTCAAAAATGCAGGCATTGCAGCCAGAAGAGAATCGACTGACTTGTGGCTACATGCCATGCAAGCTTTCATCTTATCTTCAGGATATCCTGAAGAATTTGAGAAGCTGCTTTTTAAGGAGGAGGATGATTATAACAAAGAGCTCAACTTGGCTATGTCAAAGGCAAATAACTCCCTGAGGAGTAAAGGGCAAGGAGGGAAGGCCAAAGGAATAGAGGGCAGACATGGCATGTTGCTCCCTGACAAATATGCCGAAAATACAGGAAGACCCCACTTGTGCTTCATTCGACTTCTTGAAAATTCACTGGAGCAACTCTATGTTCATAAGAACCCAGAAAACTGTAAAAGGTTTTTTTTCCGGTTTATGAACGTCCTGGTCAAGAAATGCACGAGGAACTTGGTTCCAAGCATTGGAAACACGGTGATGTTGTTGGAATTCCAGTATATTCTCTGTTGTGCTGTCCTGATGCGACTCTCCAAGAACATCACTCTCTGCTTTCCAAAGAGCTACATTGCTCTCATTCATTACTGGGAGTTCTTATTCAGAAGCAAGGACCATAACAAAGAACTTAGAGACACATTCTCTATTATACAAGACTACAGACCAAAGGATGCCTATGTAGCTGTACAGAACTTCAGGGCTCATCTCTGCTACCTAGCAGAAGTTTTGTGTGGAGTTCATGGAAGGTTCAACGTCCTTCTGGATGCTTTTGAGGATCCTAAATGCATAACTTCAGGGGAGGCCGAGCGGACTGCAGTGCTGTGCTTAGTGATGCTGCTGAACGCCGACCAGGTGCAGAATCCTAAATGTAGATTCCTCTTACGCCAACACTTCCCTGAAATCAAGGCCATGCTGAAGTCGGTGGGGGAGGACTCTGCCTTTCAAGTGCCTGGGAGGTTGCTGAAGGTCGTGGAACAAGGGAGTGATGCTACCCACGTCAGAGAGATCGCCGCGGGCCTGCAAGAGCTGCTGGCAGAGCGAGATGCGGAACACTTGGTTGACTGCCGGTGGAAGTGGGACCCCGTGTACACCCAGGGGCACCCAATACGGGGCATTCTCTACGAACCCATAAACCTCGACAGGTTTATCACCTCTTTGGATAAGACGGAATACGGCGATGAGGTGGAGAAGGAACTCGAAAGGGTTCATTGCTTAGAGGACCAGAAGGATCCCCTGGAAGTCATCGCGCTCAACAGGCAGCAGAAGCAAGAGCAGAAGGCGTCTGCCCAACGGCAGCTGCGGCGTGTCTTCCACTTGGTCTCTCTGTGCGTGAAGTGGAGGAGGAAGGCCTGCTCCAAAGCTGAGCCCGTTGCGAGGGCCAGGGAGGAGTTTCTGTCAGATGTCTTCAAAAAAGCAGATATTGACCCCACCCAGTGCGACCTCTGCGGAGTCAGATTTATCCAGAGCTCCGAGGGCTATTTTGGCCGGTCGGAAAGCATGGAGGGGGAGAGTTGTGAAGGGGTGGCACCCACGGAGGTGGGTGGGGAGGGGAAGCTGCAGGCAGGAGGAGATGCAGTTTCGGTGGCCAGCGAGGCTTACACAGAGCACAGCAACACGGAGCAGCACAGAAGGAACAACGCTGCCTACCAGGGCTACGCTGAGTTCTTCAGAAGAAAGATAGATCCAGTGATTCGTGAGGGGCTGGAAGTGGTGGAGGCCATCACAGAAAAGACTTGCACCCAAGACCACTTAGCATCTAAAGAAGGTTCCAACTTACGCCAGATAAAAATCAAAGAGAATATTAAGGAGATTTCAGATGCAGTAGAGGAAATCTATGAGAGGAAAGCCTGGGCTAAAGGTAAGACCTTTCCAGTTTTCCTCTAAACAATCTCATTTGTGGCCAAACTTCTAGACCTGACTTTAGCTCCATTTGAAGATGTGGTTGAGAGAATGGTGTTGCAAGTAACTAAGGAAAAGAACAGAAATAACTGAAAATGTTAAAAAATATATATTCTCACCTCTTCCAAACATAAAGTAATACATTGGATAGTACAGGTAAAAGTGAATAATTTCAGTAAAGTGAATAATTCCAGTAAATAGTCAAGTGAATTTTAACTACATGATCAGATGTGCTGTGTTCTCTGAATTTATATATACAGTCTTAGAGCAGCTGGTTATATTTATATATAAAAAAACATGTAATCTTTACTAATTTTTCTGCTGTTCCCTACGTATTTAGTTCTGCCTAACTTGCAGCACTTGGAGCCTTTTCTGAAGGATTTCTCTGCCTAGGCTGCCCTTGAACTTGGAATTTTGCTAGGGTTGAACAAAAGTTGGTACTTAACTACAAATCTATGAAGTGTTCAGGCACTTGAAGGCAACCCTGGTCTTAAAAAGTCCAGTAAATGATGGTACTTAAGAGATACTTGATGTCTTTCTTTTTTTTTTTTCTTAAAACATTATTCTGTGCTGATTTTTGCAAAGTTGAAGCACTCAACGAGTGGCTGAGGAGAAAAATTGTTGGGAGGACTTGCTGTGGGGAAGGTGATATCTGAAATCAAAACATTGTTACTGGCTTCAGTTGTAGGAATCCCTGACTCTGTCAAGTTGCCACTTTACCTGTGATGTCTGACAGCAAGGAAAAACTGTAATATTTGATCAGCTCTGAGTTAAAGACATTTAGTTTCAAATTTAATGTTAGGTTCTGGTCTTCATGTGTAAACTGCATCTTTATTCCTAGTGGAAAGCTTTTATGTATGAAGACCATGAAGTTTGGCTTATTATTTAGTTGACTTTCTGCTCAGTGGTAGTGATGAAGTAGGTTTAGTTGGGTAATAGTTGATTCTTGTTACAACAAAACTTGATGAATTTTACCTGTTTTTCTACTCGGTGAAAATATATTTACAGAAATTATTTGCCTTGGAGATTACTTTTCCCCTCACTTTATAACAAGCATTTTTCAAGTCCTTAATGGTGCAGTTAAGCTGCAACATCTCAGGTCCATGTTTGGCTTTGACTTGTATGACTTCAGTATGAAAGTGAGGAACTTTAATACCTTAAAAATAAATAAACCACAATGTTTTTAGGAGTTTCAGGTGTACTTTAAAAGGGGTGACACATGGATGGAGAGCTTCTCTGATAGTGGTGGTAATGTTGGTTCATAATAGGTACAAAATCTTCATCCCCAGTAGTGGATTTTCCTGCATCTGAGGTCACTGGTCGTTGACTTCTTGCTTTGCAGCATCCTCATACAACACAGCCCCATGTAACTTCTGTTCTGTGCTTGGCTTGAGTTGCTCTCCACCTCTCAGCTGAATGTTCTTACAGGATGTTCAACTGTGCTTTGTTTCAGCTGAAGAAATAATAACCAAACACGCCAGCAAGTTGGTGGTCACCATTGATGAGGCTCGTAAGTGGCTGAAGAAGATGGACTCCCACAGGATCAAAGAGGAAGGTATGTTCTCAAATCACACAGATTTCTGTGCCCTTAAGGGGACACTGTTTGGTAATGGTCACCTAGCATCACTTTAGTCTCCAGTCAGCACGAAGTTGACGTGTGTGTGTGCACACAGATGCACTCTGAAGGTCAGAGACTTGGTTGAGGGGTGCAGAAGACAATCAGAATCTCACCAGATCAGAGTAGTGGTTGGAAGGGACCTCTGGAGATATCTGGTCCAACCCTTCTGCTAAAGCAAGGTCACCTAGAAACCATCTTCATCCTCACCAGTAAGGCTTAACTCTGCAGCAGCACGTTTATGGGCAGTGTGGATCCAAGTTGTTGGAAGCCAGCTTCTTAACAAAACTGATCTGTAGCTTGCTTTAAAGAGCTCTGTGGAAAAAAATATTATACACAGTTGGCTTTCTTTTGGTTTTGCTTCCATTTCACTTGGTTTCACACCAAAAGTGACATATATTGATGCAGTCTGTTTACTGTATGCTTAGATTTTAGCACATATTGAGGTGGTGGGATTGAAGCAGTTGCATAAAAGGCAGCAATGAAGTGATCAGGCCACAAAAAAAGCTTTAAAGTAGATCTATTTTAGAAAAAAAATGATTGCAATAAAGGTTAAATAAAATTAACTTCTTAAATATGATTGTAAGCCTATGAAAGTCTATCACTGACATATAAAATAGCAGTGCAATAGCTTGTCCTACTATTAAGAGGAGAAAGTGTTGGGTTTTTCCATTCTGCATTAATTTTTTGGTTTTCATACAGGCTCTGTGCATGATAGAGACTTGGAAAATGAAGTGGAAGATGAAAGCATGGCTTTTGAAGAACTTTTCCATAAGAAACGCTCAAGAAAAAGAGGCAGATGTGGGAAATGTAATTAGAAAGAAATCTGCAGGTAGCTATTCCAGCCTCTTAATGTAATTTTAGGATGGCAAAAAAATTATAAATTAGAGAGATGGTGTTAGAAATGAGAAGAGTCTGAAGAAAAAAAAGAGCACCCTAAGGCCATTAGGTTTTTAATCATTTGCTGTGTGTCAGAATAATTGTGGTGATGATGTGGTTGGGAAAATCTCTGACAGGACAAATTTCCTTTCAAGCCTATGTGGAAATTAAAAGTAACAACCAACCAAAGAAACCAACTAGTAAGAAAAACTAATCATGATTCTACCTTATCTCAGGGGTATTTTTCTACTTGGTCTTTTTCTTTCTTCCCTGTTCATTGACATCATTATTCTTCAGGGCTAGAATACTCAGAAAAATAGAAGAACAGTTTTTTTCTGATTTTAAGAGGTTTTAATTGGTGTTCTTTGGTTTCCATTGTAAAACTGCTGTGTTCTGATTCTTGTAATATTGGGAGATTTTTGAGTCTTGGGTGACATACAATATCTCTCTCTTCTATTTTTATCAACAAAACCAGTAATTTCTAAACCCATTCATATTTTTGACAATGTACATACTTCTAATGAGGTATGAAAGTTAGGGGTTGTCTTCTAGTTGATCAACTTTTGATATAAACTGTTAACCTGCACATACTGATCTAGAGATGATCCTCCTTTAAAAGTGCTTTATGTGTTTTAAGCATTTTGTAAGTTTAACTTGATAAAAGAGTTTTTGTAATGTGTATTCATGTTTTTATAAAACCTGTAAGATTTTAAAAAAAAATCACTTGATCTTGTCTTTTTGGGTTTTTTTTGAATGCTTTCTGGAAGCTTTATGGGACTGACTGGATGGGTGAGAGTGAGTTGGATCCAGAGTAACAGTTCATACTGACACTGTTTGGTTTCTGGGGTTTTCATGTCTCCAACAGGCTCTAATCTCTTTTTGCAACGTTTTAAATTAATGCATTTGAGTGTTATAATTAGAGTACTATTGAGTTATTGAAATATTTTGTCTTCAGAAGGGAGCCACTTTGTAGACATAAAAAAATTGTTTCACTAATCACCTTTTGCTAAGGATTTAGTGACTTATTAGGATTCCTGTTGTGAAAATGGGACATTTTACAAGGGTAAAACTGAACTGCTGCTGTAGAATGGAGCAACATGGGCAGCAGCAAGTTTCCTGCCAGAAGACTCTTGGAAGTGATGCTTCTTACAGAAGCTTTGTTGCTTAAACAAGCACCTAGAAGATAGTTTTAAAAACATACATTGATGAAATGTAATGTTAATTACCATAAAGAAATAGGGAATTAAGAAAGAGAGATCATGAATGTAACTTCTTTGGCTTTGTTTTCTATAATGATGTGGATTTTGCATTTGAGATTGCACCCAGGAAAGTTTCCTGGTTAGTTTCTCAGCTTGAGTGCTTGAATTTGTGGCAGAAAATGCCATCTCAACATCTGAAGAACTGTTACAGTTTGGAAATCCTTGCTGGCCATGGTTTAAAGATCTGCCAATCATAGTTCTTAATGGGGAAAATGAAGCTTTAAAAACAAAAAGCAAATGGAAAACAAGGAGTAGTAAGAACAGAAGTTATATTGCAGCAAGGACTTCATTTTGGGTACATTTCCTTGGTGCAGGGACCTGTGGTTCCATACAAACCACTGGTCCTCTTCTGATGTGGAATCAGCACTTCCAGGTGGGACTTACTTCAGTAGCCTGTGGAAAGCTGACTACTAGCCAAAAATAATGGCAATTTAAATTTCAGGGCTCGTGGTATCAGAGCTATGTTGGGCCAAGGTTTCAGCAGTGTTCAGGCAGAGATGGGAAATCTAGTTGGATCTTGGGTGCTTAAAGGGTTTTTCCCCTGTGATGTTATGCATAAATAAACCTAAACCTTGAATTTCCATGGCAGTCTCTTTGGATAATAATGATCTGTGGGCATTCATCCTGTTTGAATATTTCATCAGCAAAAAGGGGACTGTCCAGATGCACCCTTGGGGTGGGGTTTTTGTTCATTAAGAAATGGTGGGAGCTCCAGTGTTCTGGCACCAGCTGGTGCCTTGGACTGAAGGGGTTTAAGAGCCAGGAGGGGTGCCTCGCTCTGTCTGAGAGCAGTGGATGCAGGCTGTCCAACTCATCTGCCCACTTCTCCCTGCCTGAGCCATGCTGAGGGGAAAGGAATTGAGGAAAGGCTTCAAAAGCACAGAAACTGACTTAAAATCACTCTCCCTGGGGACAGAAAAATGACACCTAAATGAAAAAGAACAAACTGTTGACCATAGTTGGAGGACAGGGTTGTGGACTAAAAGGTGATAATTATTCCATTTCCTGAAGAAAAATAATCCTTGCTTGTTGAACCTCATCCTGATACAAAGGACTGTGTGGTAAGTGATGGGTACTTTCCACCTTTTTCCTTTATTCCTTTCAAAAGAATTGTTTTATAATATTTACCACAGTTTTTATTCCAAACCACCTTCCTAAACAAATAACTGTGTCAAACTCTGACTCAGCAAAACATTTAAACCCTTGAGGGTTGGTTTTTTTTTAAGTATTTGCTTTCATTTCTAAAGGGAAGCCTTGTGCCCTTATGCTCACTGAAAACGTAGGAGGCAAGAAATGGTCTCATCTCAGTATAAATAAAATAAAAGGTTTTCCTGCCAGCAATTCCTGTGGAATTATTGGGTGAAAAGTGATTAGGAAGCAGCCTTCCACCTAGGAAAGGTGATCACAGCCCTTGCTGCTGAGCTTCTACCCTTGTTCCAGAATCTAGAAGCATTCAGATTTCATTAAAACCTCCCCACCTGCACTCCCTGAAGTGTCTCTGGGTCTCACTGCCTGTTTGATTTATGTCATAATCTGTCATTCTTCATTTTCTAATAAAATCATACAACTATAGGATGGTTTGGGTTGGAAGGGACCTTTAAAGACCATCCAGTCCAACCCCCCTGCAGGGAGCAGGGACATCTGCACCTAGAGCAGGTTGCTCAGAGCCCCATCCAACCTCACCTGGAATGGTTCCATGGAACAGGTTGCCCAAAAAAGTCATAGAAGCCCCATCCCTGGAAATGTCCCAGGTCAGGTTGAGCAGGATGACTGCTGAATTCACTGCCCAGTGAAACAGATTCAGCTGGAGAGGGGGAAGTACCAGCAGCCTGGTAGCCAAACTCATCCTCTGCTTAAGCTGCTGGGGATGAGTTAAACCTGGATCTCCAGTTCCTTGGGAGAACACTCTGATTCAGAGGTTAGTCAGTAGTGGGGCTTTTTTGTGCTTTATGGGGATGCCCATGGTGTGCAAGAACTTTGGGAAGTACTTCACTGGACTGAGGCAGAAGATGAGAAAGAGGTGCCCATTTTCTGGGTCGTGGTTGCACTTGGAGGTGGGCAATGTGCTGAGCTTCTCAGCCTTGCCAAAACAGAGCAGTTCTGGATGGGTGATGGGGATACTGGGTCACACCAAGGGTGGTGCAGCCCAACAGCTTCGTTTTGGTGTGGGCAAACCACTTATCTTCTGAAGCCCTTTCCCCAAATCAGGCTCCTCAGCTTGACCTAGTTCCAAGTGACATCACCATCGAGGCAGGGGATGCTGTTCCACAGGCCAGCCTCATAGTGATGAGATTCCTGCCCTTGTGTCCATTAAATGTGGATATTAATATTGCTTACATAACTTGATTGATGATAGAGGTGGGAGATTTTAGGACCACTAGTGCTTTGCCATCTTGCATGATAATGTTCCACTGACAAGCACTGGAGGAAGTTAGAAGTGCTGTTGTGTTTATCTGAACCATCATTATGATAGAATACTTTAACAAATTCTGCAGAACCATGTTTTCCACACTTCCTAGATGGTCCAATTTCCTTCAAGATGCACTTTGAGCACTCAACAAGGAACTCTTGGCTGGAGACCTGCCTAAAGAATAGAGAGATCAAGCTGAAGTGAAAAGTAAGTCATGGAAAAAAACTGTCAGCTTCCAAGTTGCTCTAGTTGTCTCTGTAAATAACATGCCTGGGCAACTCTTTATTCTTTATTTTTTTTGACCCTGTCACTTTGAATGTGTCTGCTTTTCCATCTGATGCTGTTCAGACAAGATTAAACACCAGCAAATGGGAAGCTCCCAGTGTTCCATTCACAGTTTCTCACCCCTCTTGACTTTGGCAGGAGGAGTCGGATGTTAAAAAAAGGAATAAACTTGTAGTATAATGAACTGGATTTAATGCTCTGTGCTCTGCAGCAGCCTTCTTGGAAAGGGTAAAGAAAAGGCTTTGGTTGGTGCATGGAATGCTTTTTTTTTGTGTTGGGAATTAAAGTTGGATCACTAATTGTTACTGAGCTCTGGATTTGGGTGCAGAGAGGCGAATTTTGCCTGTTTCCACCACCACCCAACCTTGTCTTGAAGGCCTCCAGTGATGATGCCTCCACAGCTTCTCTGGGAGACTTGTTCCAGCATCTCACCACCTTCACAGTGAAGAACTTCTTCCTAATTTCTCATCTAAATCTACCCTCTTACAGTTGGAAGCCATTACCCCTTGTCCTGACACTACAAGCCCTTGTAAATAATCCCTCCCCAGCTTTCCTGTAGGCCTAATTCAGATACTAGAAGGCTACAAGAAGGTCTCCCTGGAGCCTTCTCTTCTCCAGGCTGAACCACCCCAACTCCCAGCCTATCACTGTAGGAGAGATGTTCCAACTTTCTGATCACCTTCATGGCCCTCCTGAGGACCCACTCCAACAGGTCCAATTTATTATTGTTGGATATCCTCCATCCCTTTCCATTCCTGAGAGGTAGGGTGGAGGTGACCAGCAGCAAACACCATGTAGGATTTTAGAGCAGCTTTTTTTCATCAACACCTAATGAAACGTGCTGCAGGAGCCTCTTCTTACCCAGGGTGTTAGCTGAGGAGCCACGTCGGATCTCAGAGTGAAGCACTTGGGCAGTGGGTGTGTGTGGAGGAGAGAGTGGGATCCTGCTGGAAAAAAGTGCTGGCATT